CACGCCTGTAGTCCCAGCTACTCGGAAGGCTGAGGCGGAGGGATCGCCGGAGCCCAGCAGGTCGAGGCTGCGGTGGGTGAGTGTGCCACTGCACTCGAGCCTGGGTGACAGAGTGAGACTCCAACTTAAAAAGTTATTAAAGGCCAGGTGTGATGGCTCACACCTGGAACCCCAGCACTTTGGAAGGCTGAGGCAAGAGGATCGCTTGAGCCCGGGAGTTCAAGAGCAGCCTGGGCAACATAGCGAGACCATGACTCTATAAAAACATAAGCTGGACATGATGGTATACAACAGTAGGCCCAGCAACTCAGGAGGCTGAGGTGGAAGGATCACCTCGTCCCACAAGGTCAAGGCTGCAATGAACCGTAGTTGTGCCACTGCACTCCAGTGTGAGTGACAGAGTAAGACTACAACTCAAAAACAAAAAAAGTTTTTTAACAGCTGGGCTCAGTGGCTTACACCTATAATCCCAGGACTTTGGAGGGCAGAGGCAGGAGGATAGCTTGAGCCCAGGAGGTCCAGACTAGCCTGGGCAACATAGCAAAACCCTGTCTCTATAAAATATAGATGTGTATATATATGACCCTTCGTGAAAAGACGAAAAACAGAGTTAACTCTAGGTTAAAGCCTCTTGCTTGTCACAGTTTTGTGCATTCGTTGTAGCTCAAGTGAACTAGACAACATTTGTTCACCTGTCACCTAGATGCTTGCACCTTGTATGTACATCTCACTCAGAAAACAATCAAACATGAGTTCATCACGGCCCCCAGATCACACCTCAAAGATGGCCAAGGAGAAGGGGTGGGCCAGTCGCTTCTCGTCCTCCAAGACCGTCTTCCGGTTGCCTCCATTGACGTCGATGCTTGAGATGGAGTGGAGTTTGGAATCGACCCAGTAGAGGCGGCCACTGGAATGATCTAGAAGCCACAGGTGGATGAGGAGGTCACACACTGCTGCCAGATGCCAGAGGGGCCTCTGGGCCTGGTCACACTGTTCTCGGCCAGAAGAAGCTCCCCAGGACTCAGCAGAGAAGGGTCCAGAAAGGCAGCGACAGTCACGCGTGAGCCTGAACCCCACCCTGTGATGCTCTCTCACAGGGCCAGTTAGAAAAACCTCAGGGAGCCACCTGGCCTCTCCCCTCTGGCCTCCAGTCTGTGCCCAATCCCAGTGGGTGTCCAGCCCTCCGACATACCCAGGGTGATTCCGTTGGGCCACTGGATGTCTTCAGTCACCAGCGAGTAGACATCCACGCCGTTCAGGCCACCCTTCTTAATCTTGGCCGGGGTTCCCCAGTCCGTCCAGTACATGAAGCTGGGCAGGGGCAAAGATGGCAGGTGTGAGGCTGGTGTAGGGACATCTCAGCCAGTGCTGAGGAGTGGCTTCAGCCCAAGAAAGCCCGGCCCAGGAAACCACCCCCACTGGGGACTTTT